AAGTGTATGTGTGTGTGTGTGTAAATGTATCAGCAACACTCTGTGTGTTTGTGTGTGTGTGTAAACGCATCAGCATCCCTATGTGTGTGTGTGTTACCAACGTGTTTGATCGAATATAATATTTGATGTCATGCCCAGAGTACTCGTATGTGCTCGATTGCTGCGTTGGCCCTGCATGTTGGTGCCCAGGGCTGGCTGTACCATGGCACTGATAAGTGACCGCTATATAGCCTATTCCGGCTCATAATAGCGATAAACCTGCCATCAAAAGGTCATCCCCGATCTTAGGGTTTTAAGGTTTAGGGTTCGAATCTAGGGTTTACGGGTGTATCTCAGCCGGGCCTTCGTACTACGTAAAGGTCTGTGACAAAAGCCGTAGATCCCTTTCCATCTGATGGGGCGATTGTGTGAATGTGCTGAGATGCCATTCGTGGCTTTGCCTGAGCTGTGTACATTACAGACACGGCCGACTGCATGCCAACGACAGCAGTGCGACGCAGACGGCCACACACTGGCAGCAGGAATCTAAAACCCTAAACCCCTAAATTCAAAAAAGGGATAGTACCAGTAGAATACAACCCCAGATAGCCTCGGGTAGTCGTATCCTGTGTTTGGGGTCGTGGGCATAGCCCATCTGTGGTAGGGGTGGCTGTTCTGCTGACACGCTGGTCTCTCTCTCTCTCCCCTTTGTCTTGTAGGTCCGGAGAGGTGCTTCATTCGACGACGACGTCATCAGTCGCGACATCACATCGAAATTCACAGCTCACCTACAGCCCTCCACACACAACACACCCATCCGCGCACGCTCAGTGGCCATAGCCAAGCACATCTCCTACGCCAAGATCGCCAAGTGTGCTCAGGTAGCAATAAGTACAGTACTTGCGTATGTGTGGGCTATGTCGATGGGTTGCATGAGTGTTGGTTTTGTTGTAGGTCACAATTGTCACATTTAGGGTTTAGGGTTTTCGGTCATGGGGTATGACTACGTGGTGGCCATCTATTCCTAGTTCTATATAGTAAAAAGTGGACACATGGTATGAAGCAGGTGGATGAGTTATTGGTTGGGCTATGTCAATGGGTTGATGTTGGGTTCATTATTAGTCCCATCTGTGAACTGAGACTACGTGGTGGCCATATATTCCTAGTCCACTATATTAAAAGTGGACACGTGCTATGAAGCAGGTGGGTGAGTCCTCGATTGCCTGAGAGCTCAGTGGCTTTTGTGTGACAATGGACTATTACTGAGGCTAGGGAGTCATTGGTGATGAGGGCGGCTTGATGGTGCCATAGCCTTCGTTGCACGCACTCGTGGGGTGTTTTAATGGTCCGTTGTATATCCTTCCACAGGTAAACGGCCGTCCGAAGCTGGCTATCAAACTACTCAAATTCGAACCACGCATGCGAGACATGATTCCTCTTTTATTGTCCCTTAAGGAGTCCGAACTGGCTCTCCGCGAAGGTAAAGTGAAGTTTGACCTTCGTTGGTTACTGGGTATTCAATGGACTGTCTCACTGTCCATAGCCTTGTGCTGTGTATCTGTCATGTATTCTGTTTTAGCTTTACTCTGTCCACTGACCTTCACAACAATCACCCACACTCCTATACGCACACAGCCGTAGACTATGGTGATCCTGATCTCATCTACCACGCATCTGCCATGTATTCTGTTTAAGTTGTACTCTGTTCACTGACGTTCACAACAATCACCCACACTCCTATACGCACACAGCCGTAGGCTATTGTGATCCTGATCTCATCTACCATGCGAATTACCTACGCTCCTATACGCACACAGCCGTCGACTATGGTGACCCTGATCTCATCTACCATGCGATTCTGCATCTCAAGCGCACGCTGCCGTTGGGTGACTTTCTGCACACCATACACTCACAACCCATTGCCTGTGACCTACTGGTGCTCTGGTGTAAAGACCACGACCTCTCCCTACTCAAGTATGTGCGTGTGACGGGTCAAATGGCCCCTATACCTCATGCCTGTAAGCATGGGATAGGCGAGTATAAGTGTACGTGTGTGATTCACAGCCCATTGCCTGTGATCTACTGGTGCTCTGGTGTAAAGAGCACGACCTCTCCCTACTCATGTATGTGCGTGTGACGGGTCAAATGGCCC